ATTCTGATCCTTGTAGGTATCTACACAGCATCACGGCATCTGAATCTCTTTCCAAGGCCTTCATGGCTGTTCTACCAAGTGCCGGTCTGCAGCATATTTCTTGACTGCTTCTTCCTTTACTCTTGTTGGTTGATCCTAAAAGGCAGAAGCTCTCCACCACTTCAATGTCTTCATTGTCACTTCTAAGGCTGGCTGTTCTACCCTACAGCATGGGCAAGAAATATACATGCTGAGAAGCAGCAGATTGCGGGAGCCTGGTATTCCAACATGTCAGATGTGCCCTTTCAAGCATCTTCGTCCTGCTCAAAATTTCCCTTTCTGCTGCTCAGAGTCAACCAGCGTTTCTCTACTTTTCCACCCAAGCTGATAAAATGGGAGACTGCAAATGCCCGGAAGCAGCATTTAAAGTTGCCAGCTGACAAAGGGAGGGGGGGAGGCAGTCCCACTGCAGCTCTTTCCTTTGAATTTGGACACATTGAGCCCCCAGGAAGAAACACAAAAGGAAATTGGCTGATAAAAAGCGGTTATCCTTCTCCCCGCCATCCATCAAAGCAAAGTAAGGTTTGAAAGACTCTTCCTAGAAGGGGTTCAAATTAAACTGGCAAGACAAAAGAATGGAACGGGCTCTTCAAAGGACTATTATCATTCAGACTCCGTGGGAACTGCAGCAGGATTTTAACCCGTTATTTTAAGCAAGGAGATGGCGATCTAAGGCACACCCAGGACATCAGTTAATTGAACTGTCGAGAGTGACTCAGTGTGAGGAATATCTGGGTTGCTGTAAAATGGTGGATGCTCTGGAAAATGATGTCTGCTTGTTTGGAACTCTGGGGGTGGAGTGGGAAGAGGTGGATCCTTTGAGGACAATTACATCAAGGTTTTCTTTTTCTGTTCAGTTTGGGAGCCCACGCTGGGGATGCTCACAGCTTCTTCATGTGTCCCTCACAAAGCCATTTCCTCTAGTAGGTCTTCTTCTGTTGGGGGGGTGGAAGGAACAAGGAAAAGATGCCCGATTTCAGCTGTGTGAAGGGATGGAGAGCTCGCCACTCTTAGAAGGGAATACTTGAGTGCCTAAAGTCTCTTGAGCACCACTGCCATCACATTTTGGCATTGGCGGCTGCAACGGGGTCATTGCACGTGGTTGGAGTAGTTGACCTTTGAGGCCTCTTCCAATCCTACGACATCGTAGAGTCTCTCCCCAACTGTCTCACGATTTCCTGGGCAACTGAACATGGAAGCAGCTGGAAACAGGATGCTAAGGGTGCCAACTTCTCCATCATGCCGTGCTTCTCTGTCATTAGCTGCTGAATTTGGTGCATATGAAAGCAAGCGGCTGGTTGTATTGAGCTCCAGGCTGTTTAGAGCAGTGTTTCTCAACCTTGACAACTTGAAGATGCGTGGACTTCAACTCCCAGAATTCCCCA